ATAGTGTCAAGGCAGGAGAAAATGCATCTCTACACCCAAAGAGGCAAAACATCACAAAAGTTATTGCAGGCATGTGGGAACTGCAATCCCTGGCACAGTTCTTGACAGAGAAATTCTTTGGTGGAGGTAGACCAGAAACACTTTGACCATTGGGTCAGTGAGGAAGGTCCAGAAACACTCACATAGAGTATGTGCAAGTCCCAGAACTGGCTCTTTGCCAGGGCTCTGAGAAACCCCTCCGACAGACACAAGGATGCATGGTCCTTGTCTCACAAATTGTCCTCCACGTTTGGAGGCGGGCATCCCAAACTCCTTTTAATCTTTGGTCTGTTGCTTCCCAAAGAATGAAAAAGGCAAAGACGAGCATTTTATGAGATGCTTGTGTGACCTCATATAGTGGTCAGGCAACCTCTTCAGTCCATGCCAAACAAAAAAGAGGTGTCAGGGAAAAGAAGACCCTCAAATGCAAAAGAAGTCACAACTCATGCCCCAGTCCTAGCATTTCAGAAGTTTGAATTTTGGCTTGTTTGCATGCAGTCCCACAGTTATAAAGTACATCTACTTTTCCTTAGCAATCTAACATGGTTCCTTAAATATTTTCTTGTACAGTTTGTGAATTTAGTACGGTTCTCTGTTTAAACATGTTGTATTGTCCCCCGCAGCAATTAAATGCTTGCGTAATAAAGTGCAAAAATTAATCTGTGACAAAACACCCCAGGCAGAAGAGCAGCCCAAGACACCAGCAGCTTAAGCAAATGTAGACCACATAGCCTGCCAGAAATGAGGACAGCGTGGTCCAAGGTATTTTGCAACTTAACACTGGATGTGGTTGCAGGCAATTACTTGTTGAAGTACCTGTAAAGAGTGGGGAAGTAAACATGTTCAACATTGATTTCACCAGCCTCTCTCAGCCTAGGTCAACACTGACTGCTTTATGACTGTGGAACTCTGCTACCTTTGAGCAACCAAGAACAAAATGTTCTGCACGTCCCATATTGCGTGAGGTTGCTTTCAGGCCATGTCAGAAGATGACAGGCTCAGCTGCTCCTGAACTGTGACAGAGAGCTATACGTGTGGCAATAGGTTTCGGCTGTCCAAGGATGTGAGCACTCACTTGTTTCAGAACATGTTGAAGTGGGGCCTTCATCCACATGGGTGTTTATGAATATTCTCCAACAGTCTCGTAATCCTGCAGGACAAAGGAACGCAACTTTCTGAGGTTAACTTGGCTCTTTCAAACGGTGCAATCAAGTGGACATGTGTACCCTATGACTAGAGCATTCTAAACACTAACTAATATTTCAGGTGTGCTCCTGATGACATGGTTTACTGAGTCTAACAGTTGACTTGCTAACACCAGTACATGGTATCCAGTCTGCCGTTTCTTGACTGAGACACTGGAGATTTGAGGCAGAGGTTCTGGAATCACTGGTGTTCTTCTGTCTGCAGGGAGAGCTGTGAACAATGTTCTGAAAAGCGTGCTATGTAGCCGTGTATTAGATCTTCCACATCTGTGCTGCTTCCTTCCTGCCTGCTTTATCTCCTCCTCAGCGCTGTAATGTCTCTGTACAGTATGTCTGTGGGTTGCTCCCCAAAAAGAATACATGGCTTGCAGATGTAAAGAAGATCAATGCCTTTTTTTTTTCCTCCCTTCCACAGCAGTAAGCATTAAAGTCTGAGTCTAGATCAGTAAAGAACAGACTTTGGAGGATTAAAATAGCCTCTAGCTTTGGGCTAATAAAGAAACACAAATCACTTTCCCAAAGGGAAAAGGCTGTTCTATTGGGTCCTGTGGGAAACCTGCAATGCTCCTCCCAGGATAATACAGCCAAAAGTTCCAAGCAGCACAGCACGCACGCGGGTATTATGACCTCACATAAGTTTCAGAAAGCAGTGTGAGATAAAAAAAAAGAAAAAAAGAGCTTTGCACTTCCCAACTTGCATAGCAAACCCAATTGTATACATAAGCAAGTGGGAGAATGGGAGAATGATGCAATTAAGCAGCATAGACCTTGTAACCGCTTCAACACAAGCACATCTGTCAACAGGCTTTTTCACGTCAGGTATAAAAAACCCATATGCTTCTATTCTATAGTGCTGCAAAATTTAATATATGAAATTTTAGCACAGGTTTTTTAGGATCTATGGGTGGAATTGTATACAGGAGAGAAATAATTATGTATTGCAAAGATTGAATTCAAGAATATTTCATGAATATTTCCTATCTTATGTCATGCAGCATTATCCCTGTTAAACTTATGTACCTGTGTCAAGCCCCAATGATTTAACTGATTTTCATGGCATTTCTCTCTTTCTACTGTAAAATTTTAGAGAAAGTATCATGCCTTTTTATTTGTTTATATAGAACCATCATGCTGGAGACTCTGATAGTCCTCTTCCATAACACAGTTTAAAGAAGGAGGTTGTAGAGGAAGCAGATGGCTGAGAAATACAGGTCCAGCCTTTATCTTCTTTCCCAAACATGCAAGTACCCATCTGTTACCGAAGAGAAAAGGGAAAGCCTTTGCAGTTGTTCTGGACAGACTAATTGCACGTTGGCCAAAAAGAGACTACTGGAGCCTATCATGAAAGAAAAGGGAAGATGCTGACTCTCTGCTAAGGCCCATAGAGCTGACAATGTGGATCCAAGAGAAATGTCTGAATTATTGAAGAACAGCTGTAGAATCTCTCACCCAAGGGAGAACCTGGAGCTTAAGTGTGGTGTGGCTCCAGGTATGCGCTGTGCCATGTCCCACAAGGAGATGGGAGGGAAAACAAAGGATATAAAAAAAGAAAAAAGGGCAAGATAACTTAATCCAGGGTAGGTATAACCACAGCTAGGAATAAACAGTGGCAAAGGAGTGGTTTACCCAAGTAGAATCATAGAATGGTAAGGGTTGGAAGGGACCTTATAGATCACCTAGTTCCAACCCCCCTGCCATGAACAGGGACACCTTCCACTAGACCAGGTTGCTCAAAGCCTCGTCTAACCTGGCCTTGAACACTTTCAGGGAGGGGGCAGCCACAGCTTCTCTGGGCAACCTGTGCCGGTGCCTCACCACCCTCATAGTGAAGAATTTCTTCCTTACGCCCAATCTAAATCTACCCTCTTTTAGCTTAAGGCCATTACCCCTTGTCCTATCACTCCATGTCCTTTTAAAAAGTCCCTCTCCAGCTTTCTTATAAGCCCCCTTTAAGTACTGAAAGGCCGCAGTAAGGTGTCCCTGGAGCCTTCTCTTCTCCAGGCTGAACAGCCCCAACTGTCTCAGCCTGTCTTCATAGCAGAGGTGCTCCAGCCCTCAGATCATCTTTGTGGTGCTCCTCTGCACCACCCCTAGGCACTATCCAAAACACAGCATCAGCCCAGCCACTTTCAAAAGCCAGAAAGTTTACATGAGCTACTAAACAAAGATTCAGTAAAAGGGTGGGGAGAAGCATCTTTATGCTTTTTTCCCTTTATTTAGTGACATTGTTGCACATATACATAAAAACCACAACTTGCAATTTCTTGGACTTGGCAATTTCATCAGGTTCTTCAAACACACGTTAAAAATACATGGTTGAATCATAGGATTTCCCAGCAGGTTCCTTGAATTAACAGATTTCAACAGAAATTGAAAAGGATTTTAAATGACTTTTCCAGTCAAAGTCTCCCTATAGTTGGAAATTCCAATCTGGAGGATGTCTATTACCAACTTGGCATAGAGTACCAAAATGAATCGTTGAAGTCTGTTCTGCAAGCATTTGTCTGTTTATAAGTATTCCACTCCTGATATGCACAAATCCTGGATTCTTGAATAGAAACTCCTGGCCAACAATGTACCTCGAGGCTTCACCTGGCTCCTCCTGCTCCTACGCTCCATTTGTAAATGATGGAATTTATCTCAAACCTTTCTGGCTATCCTAATTTGATAGAATCACAGAATAGTTGAGGCATGAAGGGACCTCATCAGATTGTCTAGTTTAGGCCCCACCCTGCTCAAAGACAGGTCAACTACAGCAGGTTGCTCAGAATCCTATCCAGTTGGGTTTCGAGGACCTCCGAGGCTGAAGACTCCACAGTCCCCCTGGGAAACCTGTTTCAGTGTTTGACCGCCCTCACGGTAAAGAAGTTATTTCTTATACTTAAATGGATTTCCTGTCTTTCAATTTGTGCCCATTGTCATTTGTCCTTTCTGCCAGCAGTGACAAGACACTGGTTCTGTTGCTTTTTACTACCTGCCTTTCAGTATTTACACACATTGATAAGATCTCCTGAGCCTTCTCTCCTCCAGGCTAAATGATTCCAGCTCTCTCAGCCTCTCCTTGTATGACACATTCTCCATTCTCTTAATTATCTTTGTGACCCTTCACTGAACTTGCTCCAGTACATGCATGTCTCTTGTGCTGGGGAGCCCAGAACTGGACAGAGCACTGACAGTTCGATCTCACCAGTGCCTCACTAGAGAGGAAGAATCACTTCCCTTGACCTGTTGGCAATGCCTGGGATGTTGTTTGCCTTCCTTTCTGTAGGCACAGATTGCTGGCTCATGGTCAACTTTTTGTCCACCTGGAGCCCTGCGTCCTTTTCTGCAAAGCTGCCTTCCAGTCTTCAATGTGTACTACTGCGCAGGGTTAATCCTAACCCACCGCAGAACTTGGCATTTGCCTGTGTTGAACTTTATGAGGTTCATGAACAGGAGCTGGCCCATTTCTCCAGCCTGTCAAGGTCCCTCTGAATGGCAGCACATTCACCTGGTCCATCAACCAGTCCTCTCAACTTTGTATTGTCTGCAGACTTGCTAAGGGTGTACTCTGTCTCCACCATCCAGGTCCTCAATGAAGAGGTTAAACAGTACTGGCTCCAGTATCAACCCCCGTGGTACTGCACTAGTGACTGGCCTCCAGCTGGACTTTGTGCCCAGCCCAACCCTTTAAGCCCAACAGTTCAGCCAGTTTTCAGTCCACCTCACTGTTCATTTATCTAGTCTGTATTTCATTAGTTTGTCTATGTGGATGTTATGGGACACAATGTTGAAAGCCTTGCCAAAGTCAAGATAAACAACATGCACCACTCTCCCCTCATCTGCAAAGCCAGCAGCTTCATCACAGAAGGCTACAAGATTGGTCAGGTATGACTTCCCCTGCTTATATCCATGCTGGCAACTCTTAATCATCTTGTCCACAATATATTTGAAAACAGTTTCCATGAGGATTTGCTCTACTACCCTCCCAGGGATGGAGGCGAGGCTGACAGGCTTGTAGTTCCCTGAATTCTCCTTCTTGCTCTTCTGGAAGACAGGTGTGATATTTCCTTTCTTACAGTCCCCAGGAACCTCCTCTGACTGCCATGACCTTCCAGCTATAACTGAGATCAGCCCTTCATGCATAGATGAATCCCACCAAATCCTATGGACTTGTGTAAGCTCTATTTGTTTAAATGTTTCCTAACTCGATCCTCCTCTACTGAGGTTAAGTCTTCAGAGCTCCAGACTCTTCCACAGATCTTCATGCCCTGGGATCCCTGAAAGCAAATCTCACCAGTAAAAACCAAGGCAAATAACCTAGTTCTGCAGTATAAATCATTCAGCTTCATTTAGCTCTAATAGTTCTCGTATCTGTATTAGACGTAGCAAATGAATACAGGCAGTGATTGAGGGTTGCCTCTTGAGCAACCCGCACCTGAACAACAGCTATCTAAAACTACTGTTCTTACTGGTGAACCACATATGGGTATTAAAAGGTGAAAAACTTAGAAACAGCTGAGGGCATTTTCCTGCAGAATCATATTGTGATACTGGCAACACAGATCTAGTCTAGGGAAAGAAAGAAGAATGACAAAGCTCTCACAGGACTGGAACAATATTTTAACAGTCATAAAAAAGCCCGATTCCTCCTTGTGAGAAGAATATGAGGAAAGCATTTTTTTTCAAACAAAAAGTGTAAATTTTATACCTAAATACTGGAGGTAATGCAAGAATAAAAGCAATCATCTTTATGCATTCAAGAACTGAATTTCGAAATTTCTGATCAAATTCCTGTTATTGTATTGCTAAGGAAGTGGCCTTGTTGGCTGAACTGAAGTGATACTGGAAGAGCTTCCTGTTTAAAACAGCAGGGAGTGCAGCCCTGACAACATCACTCACACGGTTGATGATATTAACTTGACTGGAGCATTGCAGGAACAGGGCTCCATCCAGCTTCAAGGGTCCCCTGCAATGTTATATACTGCAGGATCCCAAAGTTAGTAATTCTTCACTGTGACACAATAATTCTCTAATAGAAATGGGTACAGTTAGGAAGAGATGCAGCAACTTCACAGCACTAGGGAATCAGATCAGTGGTCTAGCATCCCCTCTAGCATCTGTCAAAAAAGTGCAAAAATCCTGAGAGCCAATTACATAACATACACATAAGTTTATTCCACAGAACAGACAGCAGCTGCTTAGCTTAATAACTAAAAGTCCAAGGCTTAAAGATTTATATCTCTTGTAATTCTAAACTACATCTACCATTGCTGGTATTTTTAAAAACACCTTTAAATTGGCTTTTATTTTCTGGTAGTGATTTCCACAGAATAACTACATATTTTTAAATTTATTGTCCGTTCCACATTCTTTTGCAGAATGTCACTTAAATATAGTACTTTCAGAAGAAAAACAAGAACTGTTAAGCTCTTCATTGTTCTCTCCATTTTTCAGTAACTGTACTTCACATTTAAACAAGACATGAAGATACAGCCAGTTCTCCTATGAAATCTTTAGTACTCACAATTCCTTATTAAAAGTAAATGTAATTGTAATTTGCCAATAATTTGTCAAAACTAAGAGCAGGATGAAACAAAATAAGCAGCAACGTGTCAGACAGATTTGCTTTCTACAAGAAAGCTACATGGACAAAATGTTATGAAATGGACTACTCTGATCTCCGTAACAGAGTACAGCAAGTTGACATTACGAACAGTTTTTGTTATACGCAGACATGTATCTTAATCTTCACAGAAGTGATGAAGGTGCTACCAACTTAAAGCAAGAGATGGAATACTGCCTATTCATACAGGCTGTTTAATCTTTCCTGGCCCTAAATATCCCACTCCAATTAAAGCACAGTTTAGAAACATTTTAAATTAATATCATCATAAATATAAATTTCAAAAATCATGGAGGACATAATAGCCAAACTCTGCTCTCAGATACAGTTTAGGGGGTCAAAAGAATGAAGACTGTATGAAATAGAGTAGGATATATAAATCTGATGTGATAATTATATAACTAACTGACAAGGAAAAAGTTTGAATTTATATATATCAATTAGTATACTCAATTTACTAAAATGCTTCTGCAGTTTCCTAGATAGGTTTTCTGTAAATGAAATTTATATCCTAGAGCGTTTCAGGTTCACACCGTGCAATTTTAGAGAGACTGTTGCTTGACTGAATGGTTGAACAAACTCACGGCTTTACTTCTGCAAATAAAATGGAACATGTATCTGAGCTTGGAGATGGCCTGATGTAACTCAGAAACATGAATACTAAAATGCGTCTTTGGCTACTGTTCCCAGAATGTTACTCATTAAAGCTCTGGGCGTGTTGTGGGGAGGACTATGTTATTACGCCTATTCTCTCACAAATTTGTGTTTGGACAATGCTCACGTGCTTGCAGAAGGACACTCAGCAGACGGGACATCGAGCTAAGACGCAACAAACAAAATTAAATCTCAATGAACTATTTTTACGCTCAGCGGCTGACTGATGTGAGGCTCTATGTCCATTTCCCCTCAGGTCTCCGGATCTGAGAGTTGAGCAAAGCTTCCCGTATCCTGCTTCTCTGAAGAGCAAAGGCTTACCCACTAGAACAGACGGCAGCAGTTTCTTGCTTGTCATACAAAGCAAGAGAAAGGCACTGGGGAAGCAGGCGGATCTTGGGACAACTACAGAAACATTCAGGCTCTGACCCACTGACAAGTTCAATTGCCCTGGGCTGCTCCAGACTGCGGCTGACAGGTCTAACATCCTGAGTACCTGCTTTTTGTTCGTTCCCTGACATTCACCCCAATTCCGACACACACCACCAGTTCTGGCCACTAAATGGTCTGGCATGCTTGACTGGCAAAGAGCACCTCAAGCTGTGCTGACTGACGCTGTTGGGAGTCAGAAGTAGCAAGGGAGGAACTTTAACAGCAGGAGCCTCAAAATTGTGTGTGGAGGAGAGAGTGGGAATGATGAGAGGGGTGGGAATGAAGTGTTGTACAACCAGCCCTATCCTTTCTAGTGTCGATATGTGCAATTTTTATAAAGAATTCAAAATGAATGGCACACAATAAAGCTAGTAAGATGCACGGACACTGAAGATGTCTTACGACAAAAACTTACTAAATGTTCCAAAAATAGGAGGGTAATTTCAGCTCAAACGAATGCACAAGGACTAACACCAGAAACCCCTGAAGAAAAATTCCTACTTCCTACTGAATAAGAATAGGATCAGAATTGAACATGGTAATTCATAAGAACAGGGAGAATCATCCCAAACTAAGTAGCATTGACCATATGGACTGAGAAAGCTATTTAGGGCAAGCCAGTCCTGGGGGACAGAAAAAGAAAATTCCACAGTCCTCCCCTTCTCTCCCTTAAGTTAACTGTGAACCTCAAGCAACTGAAAAGAAAACTTACTTGGTAAGCTTAATTTTAAATTGCATTTTTGTTATTTACTTTGCACCCCCTCCTACACTTCAACCTTTGCTCTTAGAATAAACTCACTTTACTCTGGAAGCTTATCTTGGCACTAAAAGCAACTCTTAAGCAACTCTGGGATGAGTAAGGTGTATTATTATTTCAGAAACAATTAATCCAAATAAAGAGGAGTCTTAGTCCTATCTTGTTGCACTCACCTAGGGCAAGCGGGAGGAACCTTGGGAACCAAGCTCTCTGAGCGGCAAGGATCAGTTTGAGAACCTGTAACATCAGATAGCGAGAAAAGTCAGGTCTCCCCTTTCAGCCAAGGAGACTCAACAAAGACAGCCAGAAACCTGAAAAACTTGTTAAAAGCAGTTATTTCCATGCCCTGCTGTTACTGTATGACAGGAAATTAAAGCATTTGATGTATTCACTGTACATTTATTCATATGTGTTTAATATGAATGTGCTTTTTTTTATAGTTAAATCAATAAAATAGTTAGACTTGTCAGGTCTTTACTACTGTTTTATAGTAATAGGTTCCTTGCAAGGTTATTACCAGCCTCTCCCATCCACTGTATTTCTCAGTCCGGTAAATACCTAATCAAGCTCAAAATGACTGGTCTTAAACTCATAACATAGCTCTGAAGTTCATTGATTTCAGTTTTGAAAAAAGGGCTTCTACTCCCCAAACTTTTCAATCACCAGAGTGACAATAACCCAACTGCATGTGACACTAATTATTACACTTTGAAATGCTGTACACTGTCAGTTTGTACTGTTTCCCCATAAAGAATTTTAGAGTATTATTTGCTTTGAAAAGGCAACTCACTCATTTATCAGAGTAACTTCTTGTTGAAGTCAGTTGATTTGTCCTTGTCATGAAAGCAGGAAGGTCCTTTAGGGAGGAAATTCTAATTTCTAAGATCTGTACCTGAGAGTTGATATTTACAGCTGAACAGTAAAGTGAGCTTTCACTCATCTTCTTCACAAGCTCTGCCTGATTTTCTTTACGGGCATTGTGTTATAGTTGAAAAACAAAATGGTCTGAGCTGAAGCTGAGTCTCTGTTTTTGAGAGACTTCGATGCATTTTTCCACCACAGAATTTACAAGCACTTAAAGAAAGTTGGTCCAAATCAGTTTTACAATAGAAACTGATCACTGCCTTAAAAACAGAAAAGTTTGCTCGCTCTCAGAGCAGCTGCAAGACCAAAGCAAAAGAACAAGTCAAAAAATCTAAAGCCAAAGTGTTCTGCTAAAAGAGGCAAAGGGAGAGTTTAGCTATTCTGTAGCTAGACTTTAGAAAGGTATTTATTTTTTTCCTCATAAGTAGAGAGCCAAACAAATGTTACTTCAGCTGTCAATCAACAGTATCATCATGAAGAATTCCTAGTAATAGCAACAGGAACCACACTGAGCATTAAATCACTAATATAGCAGAACTGGCTAATTAAAAATCA